CAAGGAAAAAAAAAAAAAAAAAAAAAAAAAAAGTCAAAAATTAGTTTTTCCATTCCATAAGCTAAAACCAGCTTATCCATAAGTTAAAAATAAGATTTCGGAGAAACTAACACAAGAGAGCTTCTACTAACTAATTAGCTCATACATAAGCTAAAACTTCAACAAGCTATTTCATTTTACCTCTCGTGGAAGTGTTTTGGGAAAAGTTTAAAGTTTACCCAAACAGACCCTAAAGCAAGCAAATATGTAAAGAGAGATCGCAAATCTCCACTGGCATTGGTTTAAAACTAAGCATCGTATCACTATCTAAGAATTTGAAGTCAACGGTCAACATATTGGAGGAACATTAGTTAGTGATAAATGAAGGCGATCGAACCGTTGGAGGAGCTTATCAGCGGCGAGGGTTTCGTTGGCCTGGCACATGGCCTTGAGGACGAGGTTATACGACGCCGTATTGGGGGCAACACCGAATTGGGGCATCTGGGCGAGGATATCAAGGAGGTCAGCGGCGGAGGCACCGAGCATGAGGTTGGCCCTGAGGTAGTGGTTGAAGAGGCCAACATCGGGGCTATTGGGCTTGCCGTGCTTGTCGAGGGAGTGGACCCAGGCCTGGAAGTGGTCCCTCACTTGGGCCCAGTCCTGGGAGGCGATGGAGTTGGCGAAGGTGTCGAGGAGGGTGCGGGAGTCGGAGTCGTCGCGGCGGTGGGAGCCGAGGGGGGCGAGGGCGTTGGAGCCGGCGGAGGGGATTGGGTTGCGCCAGTTCTGGTGGTAGAGAGGGCTTCCGGTGGCGGGGTTGGGAGGGAGCGGGGTGGGGTCCGCTAGCTGGGGCTCCTGCGAGAGGGAGGGGAATGTGGTGATGGTTTTGAGGAGAGAGGGGTGCTTGGGGAAGAGGGAGCGCGTGCGGAGGAGGATTTGCGATGCCATTGATGGAGTGAGAGAAAATGGGTTTAGCGCATTTAGGGTTTTACTTTTACCAATACCAGATTTGGGTTCGGGGAAGGGGATACATCATAGATCATACTCATACATTACAGATCCTAATTTTCCATTTTTCTTTCTTTTTCTGTTGCTGCCTGTCGATTCGCTCGAACGTCGACGTAAAGATTCATTGGGCCTAAAGTGTTGGGCTGGGCTCGGATGGGCCGGGCCAGACCGGACATCTCTTTGTCATTGGTCCAACCTGACTATGTGTCCATAATTATCTATGAATTTATAGTTAAATATTAATTTTAAACTTAAATAAATTTTTAATTTCCTAAAATAGGGAGTTGATAATTTTAGTCCTTTTTTTTTTAATTTTTTTCATTTATGTAACTGTAAAAAAAAAAATTTGTTTCATTTTCGTCTTTACTGTTAGATTAACCGTTAACTCTAATAGAAAAAAGTGAAAAAAAACTGTAGGGAACAAAATAGAAAAAGGACTAAAATGAAATTAAGAAAAACTTGTATTTAAGTTAAACTTATAAAGTTTAAACTTTAATTTTTATTTATTCATAGTAATAATTTTAGTTTTTAATGATCATATAAAAACATCAAACCTTAAATATAAATCTTCACAAAAAGTTATCTAGTAAAATTGTAATCATTTTTGAGTTATGGTGGAAATATAACAAATGGAAAATAGCAAAAGTAAAACATAAAATATAACAGAAATGTTAAAATGGGTGATAACGTATAGGCATAAAATAATAGAATTTTTTTTCTTAATGTAATATATTAGAGATGTGGATGTGATGTAAAAAAATATATTAATGTAATTTTGTTCATTTTTTCTTAATTTTTTATTATTATTTCATACTCGTGTGTTATGATTCGTTTTATTATTTTTATCTTATTTTATATTTAAAATTTTAAATTTATTTGTTATATTTACTTTTTTATATTTGTAAAGATGATTGTATCATATATGACTTTTATGAAGTTATGTGTTTAATTTTGATAATTTTTTTATTGGCCACCAATGCATTTGTTATGGTTATTTTTTTATATTTCATATTAGTATATTGATTTTATATAAAGATTTAAATTTTATGAATTTGATTCAAATAAATATTTAGTTCCTGAAAAATAAAGATGATTTCGTCAATGCTTTTCATCCTTCCAAATTTTATTTTTATTTTTATACTTTCAAATTTTAGTTATTTTCATTTTTGTCCTTTTTATTTTGGCTACTAATATTTTTTTGTTTTCTTTTTTGATTTTATAATTTTTTGACCTTTTTTTCGTTAGGTTTAGTGGTAAAATCTAATGATAAGGAAAATTTGAAACAATTTTTTTTAAAGATCTAAAAGCAAAATCTATTTTATAAAAACTAAAAAGTTATGTAAAGCCTTTATTTAATTAAATATACAATATTAAATTTTAACATTAACAAATTTAATAATATAAAATTAACATAATTATTTTAATGTGCATTCTGATAGCCCAAACCGTAAAATAATTTAGATAATAAAAGTATATTACGATGAACCATGTGAAACTTCTACCTCCTATGTATATATGCTATTGCCTTCATTAGCCGTACACACTTGTTTTTTAGCAATTCATTCTACCAATGTCACCAAATACCATAAGAGTTACTAGTAACACTATTTAATTATTAGGATTGGTCCAACAACAAAGAATTGATAAATATATGAAAAATTAAGTAAATATTATTTTTTTTATTATTAATGAGTATTTTTTATTGAACACAAGAATAATCTTTTTTCGGAGTTTGACAGACACTAAATAGGTGAAGATCTCTTTTCAATTTAATTTTTTTTTTTATATTTGCAAGAGTCATGATTCGAATCCTACCCACTTGATTAAGCAAACACTATCTAATTACTAAGATTGGAACAACAATAAAGAGTAAAATAGATAAGTATATGAAAATTAAATTGAGTATCATTATCTTTGTTAGGATGTATTAAAGGGAGTATTCCTAACACATGTCTACATTGATATAATATTGTTCATTTTAGACATAAATCTTTCAAAATGCTTCATACAAAGAAAACATGTATGTGTTTTATAAACTCATGATTCTTCACTTTTTTTTAATAATGTAGGACTTTGATCTCACATTCAACACTCTTAATTATAATATTTTCTATTGATAAAAAAAATTAGACATTCGACCCTTCCTTCTTTATAACTTTACATGTACATAAACACTTTATAGTAATTTTTCTTATTAACTTAATAATTTATCATCGGTTTAGCACACAGCATAAAAAAAGGAGCCGTTTTCAAACATGATATTGAACAAGCATGGATGTGGACGAGAATAAAGGTGGAGAGATGAAAAATAGAAGCGTAGAAAAGTGGCAACTTTTGTTAAGGGCTTTTCAATAGAAGGATAGACTTTTACTCGTTGGAGTGGATGGTGAAGCCTTCATCAATTCATATACCCTTTTTATTAAACCAATTAAGCACTTTAGAGACACATAATTAAGTGATCCAAAAGCAACCATAAAATTCCAAGGAATGCTTCCTTGACCCTCGTCACAAAAAGGAGAAAATTCCTTATTCCTTTTTCAAGTCCATAACACACTCATAACAGTCTATAACGAATCCACTATCTTATTATTGCTAATAATCAACAACATCAAAAAGCATGTAACACCGACTTGATAAGTTTTTGCTTTTCAATTACATGTTTTTTTTCTCTTTCTAAAAACTTATTTTGGTCTCTTATAATAATTGTTTGTTTCAATTTAGTCCCACTTTTATTTTTTGTCTCAATTTAGTCCTTAATAAATTAATTGGTTGTAATGTCGGATTTCCGTCCAAATTATTTAGACGAAGTTAACTGTTGGCCACGTAAATGCTACGTGGAAGCTACGTAGATGTCAAATTTTGTCATACATCTGGAACCAGAACGGCCTGTTATGAAACCGGAACGGCCCGTTCCGGTTGCACTCATAGTGTGTAAATTTTGCATCTGAAACAACCTGTTCTAGATGCATTATTTAACACCAACGCGTGGAATAGAACGGACCGTTCTAAAACCAGAACGAGTCGTTATGACTTCCAAAATGGGCCGTTCTGAATTCAGAATGGGCCGTTCCAGAACGTCAACCAACATAGTGCACCAGTGTGGTTCAAAAATCGAAAGCAAATCATTTACACATATATTCTAATATATATATATATATATATTTAAATTATCGTATGTATAAAATATAAATTTCGAGGAGTTATTCATTTATCTTATATTTGTCAAACTTTTGTACTTTCTATTTATTGTTTATGTTGATAAAAAAAATTAAAATTGTAAAAAAATAACTATAATATATATTTATACTTTTAAAAATTATATATAAAATTTTTAATATTATAAATATATGAATAAGTATTGCCCTTACGATATAATTTTTTTGGATATAAGGCTTTCTGGAACCAGAACGGCCCGTTCCGGTTTCACTCCTAGTGTGTTAATTTTGCATCCGGAACGGCCCGTTCTGGATGCAAAATTAATACACCAAAAGTGAAGCTAGAATGGGCTGTTCCGGTTTTAGAATGGGTCGTTTTGGTTCCAGATGCATGACAAAAATTTGACATCCACATGGCATCTATGTAGCTTCCACGTGGCATCCATGTAGTATCCACATGGCCAACAGTTAACTCCGTCTAAATAATTTGAACGAACGTCCGACATTGCAACCAATTAATTTATTAGAGACTAAATTGAGACCAAAAATAAAAGTGAGACTAAATTGAAACAAATAATTATTATAAAAGACCAAAACAGGTTTTTAGCTTTTTTTTTTACCATATTTCTTCATATGTTTTTATTCTAAAATGAAAACAATGGTAGTTCCCCACCCCAAGTTTTATGTTACTTCAGTTTTTTTGTTCAAAATAATTTTAAGGTTACATGTTATTAAATGTTGAAAATTAATTTATTTTGAGATATTAAAATCTAAACCTATATAATCAAGTTAAATTGGATAAACATTTAAACACTATGTTGAGTGGATAAATAAAATTGACTTAATAGTGAGAGATTAGAATAGAACGCACATAATACTGAGTTTAAATATAAATTATGATGAATAAGAAAGATACTAAGTTGAGTTAAAAATGGGAAGAGTGGAGAGCATAGGATTTACAAGCTAATAACTAAATTTCTATTTTTAGATATATATTTTTTTAGGCAATTTAATTAATAATATTAAATTTGTTCATGTAAATTTTTAAAAAACATTTTTAGAAGAGAAAAATATGAAATAATTTTTTCAATAAACTAATTTTTTCTCATGCATAAATTAATTTGTAAAAGCTTTTTTTATCAGTTTTTCCAAAAATTTGTTTTTTAACTTATGAATATACCAGATTAAAATATACTTTTATTTCTTTTATAATATCAAATCTGCAATTTTATTTCTATTATCATATTACTATCAATTAATTGTTAAAAATGTAATGTTCGTCACAATCTAACATTAAGTAAATGACACAATAATTAATATTTAATAATATTTAAGTCAAATAAACTCTTAATTATCATTTTCATCCTTTTTATATCTTATTTATCATTTTTATATAACAAAAATAAGAACTAAAAGTAAAATTTAGCTCAAATAAAATTAAATTTTAATTTTTATGTCATCTATTTAATATTAAATAATGACTAACTTTATAATTCTAATAATTAATACATACACATTCAATTAAGGAACCAAAATTACGGATTTTTATAAAATCGAAAACTAAAATTGTGAAATTAAAAATATAAAAACTAAAATTTGATATTATAAAGGACTAAAAGTGTAATTTATCCAATAAACTTATTTTAACTCAGACTTTTGTTAAATACACTTTTGTCAATTAATAATAAACTTTTCATATCATTTATTTCCTTATTTATTTTCAAAATACTCTTTTCTAAAAAATATATTTTCGAAAGAAAAAATATATTTTTGGACAATACTTTTTTGAAGGTAAAAATATATGTCCATAAAGTACATTCTAAAACATAAATAAATTTACTCTTTGAAAAAAGTATTTTCTAAAAGTATATTCCGGAAAGTAATTTTTTAAAAAATATAGTTTTTTTGGACTAAATCTCCTATTATTAGGAGTTAATGTAGCTATTTGACAATGTAACTTTTTCTTATTTTTATTCAATTAAATTTTTTATTCAGTTGACTACTATTATTTTTGTTCTTAATGTATGTTTTGATTTGAGCTTTTTTTTGCATAATCCCGTATAAATAATCAAGGTTCGAGAACTTTTTGGAAACTATGATCAAAATAACATTAGTAAAGCTTATTATGAGGAATAACATAAGAATTTTAATGTAGGTTAATTAACTTCAATAAACAATTGAAATTTTATTAAAGAATCTAAATTCTCTTATTTAAAAGATTAGGATTAAAATATTTTTATCGATAATTTGGTAATTACTAAAATTAAATAATAAGAAGTTCAATGAAATTAATCACTATCACTTTTCATAAAAAATTTTTACCTACTTTTGAGCCCTAAATTACATCGTTATTTTTTATAGCATTTTTCAAGCAATTATATATATATATATATAT